TCTCTTTTCCTGTGAGTTTTATCATGATTCTGGCAACGGATTCTGAAAGAGCATGCAATTTTACATCAGAATATGTGGTTCAAGAATTTTTTCAACGCCAATTACATAGGAAAAAATCACTTTGAAAACGTGCAAGAAATTTTGACATTTTGGACGTTAATGGGTTAATATTTTTGTGTTCTATTGAATTAAACTGTCCTATTGTTTGTGGCAGACATATGAAAACTTTTGATAACAATATATCTGAGTCCGTAATGGTGTACTGCGCTGTTATTTCATTTTCAATTGCAGTATTTACACCAACACAGCGAATAATGTGCACAAAGCATATTATCCAAAATAAAACTTATTTGGAAACTTTACAGAAAAAGAAAAAATTAACTGCTATAGAATGGCCGTCGCAATTACCATATATTATGTGTGTTCTAATAGACACACATGTTGTTAGTGTCTTTCTAGCAAACGAGCGACACTATAACTCGATGTGGTGTATTGCTGCATACATGAGGCCCCGCTCACTTAACGCTCGCTAGTTAATTATTAAATATATTTTAATCGTATAAGTATATTTATGGAAAAAAAATCAAATAACTGGAATATATATATATGTATATAGGGGTTCTTTATAAAGTTCGAATTAAAGCTTACTCGGGAATTTTAGCAGCTTGGAACCGAGCTTGTCGAAATATCGTAGACGTACGATTTATCCCGTACACATGCATATCATGTTATCCGGGGACGTGCTTAATTTCTAAATACTTAGTCAGCGTAGGCTATAACGCTATGTAATTGAGAAGATCGCGTTACTCTGGCGCGACCGGTATTTATGATAATAAACGGAAAGAGTCGCGAAAGCAAAATACCAAAGCCAATATAATTAAAAATTTAACGAACGCATACACGTCTACATATATACATATGTATATATATATATGTAGCTATACACAAAATGAGTATGCAGAAATTTGCCAAATGGTAATTGATCCAAATATTATTATTATAGAAAAATAGGTAAGAAGAAAATAAGTTTACACTAATAAACCTTGAGTTACTTACTTGTTAGAAGTTTATTTATTATTATTATTAGTAGGCTTGTCCTCGAAATTATAGAATTATATAATTGTGTATTTTGTCAAAATATTCGTCCAAGAAATATAATCCTTTTATCTTTTTGCTGGTCCTTATAATAACTGTTATCCTTATACAAGTAATTATGCTGTAATCGATCTGAACGTACGCCGTATATGTATATATATATATATATGTGTATTTTATAATAATGCGTTAATAGCTGATAGCAAGGATATGAATATACTGATTCGATGAATTTAACAATAAATAAGAACTGATTGACAAAAAAAAACTGAGATCAAAACTATATGAAAGCAACTGAATAAAACTGTATGTAAATCCGAACGGAATACGACTGCTCGTGATTAGCTCTGGCGCTAGACTGCCTTTGTCAGGCGTGGGCGATACAGTCATCCCACGCGAGAGTGTTACTACCGTCATCGCATTACTACGCGGCCGCCGAACCGCCTACGCGTGCTTAACGTGTAGAATTAATACGCGCGGCGCGATTATACATAATACTAGTACATATAAGTTTTACATTACATATATCAGGATTAAGTGAATTTTAAAAGTTGTCACTTAACACCATATCTCAATCCAATCGAATTACTCTAGGAAGCATTAGATCGTACTATACATAAGGTGTGTCCGACTTTCAAATCCTATTTATGGAAAATTTTACAACAAGTATGGAAAGAAATCAGGAGTAAGAAATTACATAAATTAATAGCAAAGATGCCTCGATTATGCAATGCTTTGATACGAAATGAAGGTGGACATTTTGGCGAAAAAAATTTTTAAATGTGAAGAAAGAATTGTGATACTCGGTACGTACGAAATAATAGATACTGATTTATGTAGTTTATCAAGATGTCATAATCACAAACATTATTATTATTTAGTACCGTAAACTATTGTTCAGTTTAAACTAAAGTCTGTGATACAAATTGCAATTGTATTTTGTTTTCTATTTGATGGAATATGATGAACTAAATTCGGATGTTATTTTTTTGTGTTTCAAGTTGTACAGTACAAAGGACTAGTGCTTGTATACGTTTAATCATTTGATAAAATATAAATATTATATATTTCTATCTCAATTCACGATGCTAATTAATACCATTTATTTAATTATCAAGATATAGAATGATAATACGAACCTCAAAATCGAAAAATTTATCTTCTTGAAAATTTCCAGGACATTTTCACATATACGTTTTTTTACATATACCGTAAATAGAACATTTTTCTTCAATGACATTTTTCTTTATATATTGAAATTTCCAAGCTATTTCAACTTTGTACTAAAAGGGATTTTTTCACAAAAATCGCTATAAGTTTGCTTAAAAAAATGTTAAAGATTTGCCACGCAGCATTTGAAAGTCTTGGAAGTACTTTTCAAATACTTCCAGTCGATTTATTACATAATATTTTTTCACAAAATGAAGTGGAATTTAAACGTGCCTAAAAAAAAATTTTCTTTTTAAATCCTCCAACTCTGATAAATGATAGAGAAAGTAATTCACATGCATTCTAACACACTCAGGCTGAAAGATAGCAGAAAAATCTTCAAAATACCAGGCTGCAGATCTTTCTAAGACGTTCCCTACGAGAGTTATACAACTTTTAATTTTATACAATTTTCAGTTTAGGTGGCCAAATCTTTTCGAATAGGAATGTATACGATAAATTGAGAAGGACAGCACAATCCTTGCCAATAATGAGGAAAAGAGAGTGATTTGTTCAGAAATTAATTATGGACGGATAATTTATTGATCTAAATTCCATAACTAAAAATTGCTTTGATAAACGTGCCACATATCATGACATTTTTTTGCATAGTTTAAACTTCTAGCATCGCATATAACATTCCGAAATTCAAGCTCTTAAAGAAACAAAATTTTGTATACGTCCGCAAGAAATCATTGAACTCTCACCTCCCTTACCCTAGCCTGCAAAGTGTAATGGACAGTAAAAAAAAATACCATTCGAAACATCTCTAATTGAACCCTCCAAAAATGCTCATTATTTTAATTGAACCCCTTCAGTTGTCCCAAAAAAAATAAAAACTATGATAATTTTTTCGTTTTTTGTAACTGCGATATCTTTAGTAATACTTAATATTTTTGTAAAAGAAACAAGGCAAAAAATTGAACCTTTGCTCGTTTTAATTGCACCCCTCTCACTTTTTCAAAATTATTAATATATATGTCAAAAACAACAATCTAACTTTATTGTATGTTCTTTTCAAGTAGATTATTGGGTTATTGGGTTATTTGCAAAAATATTAAGTATTACTAAAGATATCACAGTTGCAAAAAACGAAAAAATCATCATAGTTTTTAATTTTTTTTGGGACAACTGAAGGGGTTCAATTAAAATATTGAGCATTTTTGGGGGGTTCAATTAGAGATGTTTCGAATGGTATTTTTTTTTTCACTGTCCATTACACTTTGCTGGCTAGGGTAAGGGGGGTTGAACTCTCATAAACTTTTGCCACAATCGAATGCGCTGCGAAACAAACGTCGTAACTCAGCTGTAACGGTCTAGTTTAGTCAGTCTCTTCCTTCATTTTTCACTGCGCAGTAGCAACCCACCACACATCCGAAAACTGAGGAAAAGCACTATCAAAACTAAGGCGCTACCTCACATACACGCTTGAATATGTTACGGCACTTGATCAAAATCAAGACCATATCAGGACCGTGACATCACAGGCGTGGGAAATTTATTATTTACTATGCAAAATCAATAATTACAAAATTTCAAATGAAATAAAAGCACTTTTTTAGTCAATTTCAATGCGCTAATCTCTAATTCTAGCCTATTATGATCATCTATTAGGCATTAGGTAATTTAATTTAATGAGCAAGTAAATATTAATAGCAATTTTGCAATAAATAAATATTATGCGAGTTTGAATATAAAACAGCGATACTAGCACCTTAAGAAAGAGAAGTAAGTATGTGACACTTTGATAACGATTTTTTTGACGGAGTTATCAATGAATAAAATATTTATAATTTATTTAAACATTTAAAATTACGTTGCAATATAGCGATCCAATTGTACATACTGGTAAAATTAGAAAAAGGATTGTTATCCGATTATTGATTTTATAATAGCTAAAAGGATAATTTGCGAATACATTATTTAATTGCTGTCAGACATACAATTTAAAAACATATCTTAGAGTCCGAACTTAATTAATTATAACGTAGCGACGTCGAAACGTTATACAACGAATTGCGATGTAGCAAGCGAGTGCGACCTAAATTGCAAATATTGAAAATGATTCATAAAATACAGGAAATATAAAAGATCGTGCATACGCTTTTGCAACTCAATTCGTAAGAGTTCAAATCCAATACTGTACCTCAGACTTCCGTATCGCGTCAGTTCAATAATTTGGTGCATTGTTACTATTATCGTTACGACGATTTTGCGCAAAATACTTTTGTAAAAGATATCTATAATTCATCTTTAAAAGTGATCAGTAAAAATAAAAGTAAATGAAACCTATTCAGCATCCAATTCTGATTTCAAATACTTTCACATCATGAGAATTCATTACTTGGTGAAATAACAATTATATCTAAATATTAATTGAAATAAATGTTATGAAAATATACATAATATGAACCTAAACTACTACATAAAATACTAGGTAGATAATTTCTAAGATATAATAAGTGATTAGTACCACACCGACCATTCAGCTACGAAAGGACGTAAGTACAAGCCAATTGGTACCAATCGACTGACATCTATTAAAATACCACACACATACAAATATCTCTTAAAAATGATATTTCGAATCCTAGTACTATAAAGCATTTTAAGACAATAATTTAAAAATATGTTTTTCATCAAAATGAAGTATTCTCCTAAGGAAAAACTTATTTCAATATATAATATAACATTACCATGTTTTATTAAAACTGGACGAGTGTCATCTAAAGGATGAGACAAAGAATGCATGATTGGTAAATCGCTATCATCTGATTCTGGTACGTGTTTTGTCGTGTCCATGGTGGAAAGTCTGAAAGATAATTGAAAAATTTAGTTGCAGTGTATTAATATTGTTTTTAATATAATAACTTGTATATATATTAATCTCTAGTAAATAGTCTTCACGAAGCTCAATTAATGTTACTTACAATACCAGTCACGTATTTTTATCTCCCGCTTTATGAGTAAAATTGGTTAAATTTCAGTTTTATACACTACTCAGCACATGCTTTTACCTACTTAAACTAAATATTAGAAGATATTCAAACTTTTGCTTCTCGGCCAAAGATAGTCGCAGTTCAAGGTATTCAAGAAAATTTAAAAGCTCGTTGAAAACGCTTAAAAATAAACTATATGACGGAATAAAAGTAAAAACAAAATTTCCAGATATAAAAAAATAAAAGACAAAATACTTTTTTTTTTCGATCGTTTATATTTGGTTTCCATTTTAGTTCCGAATATCGGATCTTAAAAAAACTTAATGGGATTAAAAGTGGAATAAGTCCTCTTGAAAGCAGTATCCTAAGATTATTTATACTCTAATTTCTACCATGGTTATGAGTATTTTTATGAAAAAAATGCATTTTTTTCAGTAGCCAAGATCTTAAAAACTAAGCATCCTCCAAAAGCACTTTTTAAGGAAAAAGTGTTTATTTTTACACAAAATACAAGGATTGTTCAATAAGTCCATGACTTTTCGGAAAATGGTGATGTTATCATAACGTATTTTACATTTAAGAGTTCCATCTAGTATGCGTAAAAGTTTTAATTCAGTACATTGGTTGGGAAATGTTTTACAGTCATTTGAATTCAGTTTTCCTTTGTGTAAATAAAATTATAGTAAAAAATGAGTTTTGTGCGCTTATTAGCAATTTTTTTACTAGAAAAACTAAAGAAAGGAATTAAAGTAAAGCTCAAGAAATATTATGGAGATCCTGCTCCATCGCATGTCATGGTTTAAAAGTGGTTTCCTGTATTTTGTTGTGGCCGTAAGAGTACAAGTGATGTTGAGCATCCTATCCGCCCAAAAGAGGTGACTACTAAAGACGTGATCGATAAAATGCATGATATTGTACTCGCCGATCATCGATTGAAAGTCCCTGAAATTAGTAAGGCCCCAAAAATTTCAGCACAATGCACATAGAACATTTTATATGAATATTTGGGCATGAGAAACAAACGAGCTCGTGTAGTTGTATCTGTTGTGAGCAATGTTTGAGCATGTTTCAACGTGATCCAAATAAGTTTTTGCGATGCTAATTTATTTTTGATGAAATATGGATTCATTATTATACGCAAGAAACGAAAAATCAGTCGAAAATGAGGGCTGAGCCAAGTGAATCTGTGCCGAAAAAAGTAAGACGGCACGATCAGCCGGAAAAGTCATGGCTACAATTTTTTAGAACTCAAGTGGTATAATATTGTGATGATGCGTCATCACGTAAAAATTATCTTACCTTATGCTAGCCCCGCTCCCGATAAAAACATGCGACCGAACAGCTGTTGCCGCATAAACCCACCCGCACATGTCCGAGATCTCGCGATTTACTATCCCTCAAGGTCTACCAAACTGATGCGCACGACCCTTACGCCCTCGTACAACCCCTTGCGCACTCACGACCCGGACCGACACTCCCCCAGGAAGCTGAACGTCAATAAAGACTCCAGCTGGGATCAGCTGATCTCAAACCGCCGTCTAACTAGAGCAGGCCTAACTAAACCAAAAGAAGGGCAACCGAGCGCGTGAGAGCGAGCGAGACAACCAATACGAGACCGATCGAACGTAAGCAAGGGGAATCAGTAGGACAAACGAGCGGCTGTTAGACAAGGATAGCCGATAACGACGCAAGACTGACCGACGCGCACAATTAATTAGCCAATCGGTAACCGGATAGGGTTAATCCGCTAAATGAGCGTAGATGACGCTAACGGATTAGCCAATCGGTAACAACTTAGGGGTAATTCGACAAATAAGATAAAACCAACGCTATCAGTGCAACCAGTAAGGAAATTAGGCGCCAAGACTTAGCCAATAGTGAAATTACGCGGGCATAAATTAACAAAATAGACGGCGCTGACATCGGGCTTAGCAACAGGACCGACCAATCGCGCGATTTCTAAGAGGAGGTAAGCGAAGAGAAACGGCGCGTCGCCGAAAAACGCCGCGCCAGTAGCCGCTGAACTCTGGAGCCGACCGGACACTTAAAACGCGAGTGAGTGAGCAAGCAGACAAAGCAGCAAGCAGACAAAGCAGCAACCAGAGCAGCAAGCGAAGCAGCAAGTAGCAGCAATGAGCAGCAGGCAAAGCAACGAGCAGCAGCAGTGAGTAGCAGCTCCACCGAGCAGCAGCTCCAGCGAGCAACGAGTAGCAGCCACAGCAAGCAGCAACCAGCAACAGCAGCAACAAGTAGCAGCAGCAACGGCGGGAGCAGTGGCAGCAGCAGTAGCGATAGCTACGGCGACAAGGTCGAGCAAACCCAAAGTAAGTACGCTTCTCTTTTTCCCTTAAGACTCGCGCGATTGCTTAAATATCCGCGTTATTGGGAGGGCCGCATGACTTTCGCGCGTCCGATGAATTCCCTTATGTACGCATCTTTCGTAACTGACCTTATTCGGGCAATTTTCTTTGTTATGCCGTCATATTTAATACCGTCTGAACAACGAATTCTTCGCACGTGCGCGTCTATTTGCCGTCGATTCCCTGTCTAATCTTTTACCGATTTGCCGAATGATAAGCGAGCTTTTCTGATTTACGTGCGGAAAGTGAATTCACCGTGTGCGCGTAGTTTTATTGCCGACCTTCTTGAAGTGATTTCCTTGTGAATTGCCGTATGCTGAGTAGACAAAGCCTGACCTTCGTGCGACCGGCCGATCCCCCGTATGCGCGTTAGTATATCGTCGATTCTCTTTGTATGATTTTCCATTGTACATTGCCAAACGTCGAATGAGCATCGCATGACCTTCGCGCGGGCGAGGAGTTTTCATACGTATGTTGACGAAATTCTTTTGTGAGAACGATCGGACCTATACGCATTAAACGGATAGCGCCTGACCTTCACTCGACCGACGAATTTTCTGTACGTGTATCACTAACCTCTGATTTTCGTTATACGCGTGTATGAAAATTCATCGTTGATCTCCCTGAACGAACTTTATGAGCTTTCACGCGTTGAAATAAATAGTCCGACGTTACGTAATCGCCTTGCAATCTTTGAAAACGTCCGCATCAACCGTCGTCAACTCAAGTCGAAGTCGCGTCATGGTGCGCCACTCGCGCCCCTACCAGGTTAGATTAAATAGACCATCGCGAACGACTGAACTTGGGCTGACCCGGGAGAATAAATTGGCTCAATAAAATAAAGTCCTTTTTAAATTAGTATTGTCATTGACATTGCCCGTTTAATTAGCCCATCCCCCGTAGCTTTCGTGGTCGGTTCCGAGATTAGTGGACGCGTTGATAAGATTGCTACTTCGAAACTCGCTTCACAAGCCACGTAACCGGTCGATCTGGATCCTCCCCTACTCTTGGATCGTCAACGAGGCGTCCTGGGACGCCGCTCTGATATACCCGCATCTGAGACAAGAGCCTCATGCCTCGAACATTCTGACTAGCTGTCGAGCCGCAGCCGTGGGTGGCTAAATGTCCCGTTGTCCCCCTTTTTCCCGCTTGATTCTCTCTCGAACAATTCAATTTAGGACTTCGCGCTCCCTTTCTTCTAACCTCCTGTAGATAACCGCTCGAGGTCAATAACGTACGACGACAAGAGAGGAGACAACAAGGGAATCACTCGTCAACTACAGCGACCAGAACGACAACCGATGCTGCAGCGCTACCTGCCCTCCTAATACGAGGATACGGTAGCTGACGCCCAAACAAAACAAAAGTTGCATACACCGGCTGACTGCGCCGCTGGCGGCGGTCGAGGCCGGAAGAATCGACTACTACTTTATTTCTCCCCTCCCCTCCCCTCGTCACAATATTAATTGATTATCTAGTACATTTCAGACTATGACGATCAACTTTTCAGGGGTAGCATTCGGATTTTTTTGAAACTTCATCTATATGTTGCCTGTATGGTAATATATTTAAGCATGGATTATTAGATGATTATAATAATTATATCAAAAGTTATAAACAATTGCAAATTTTTGACGAAAAGTTTTCAAAAATTTATATCTCCGCAACCATTTAAATTATTAAAATGAATTTTTTTTTTCAATTACGCATAAAAGGGTGTACTTTGAAGATATTAAATGAACAATACTGTAATATCAATTTTTCCAAAAGTTATTACCATTTTTTTAAACAATTGGTCATGTTTAAAAAAATGTTTTTATTTAAAAATTTCTCTTTTTATTGAATTCCTTAACTTTTTTTCGTTAAGAATCCATTTTAAAATTCATCCAGCGATCATTAGATGCGACAGCGTGAGCGATAATAGTGGACACTCAAAGGCCCAACGACGCCAATAAGTCGATAAGATGGTAGCGCCGACCCAGCGCCGACGTGCGGCCGAGCGATCATTGTAGGGCTTGTGAGCATCCACTATTATCACTCACTATGTCGCATCTAATGATCGCTCGATGAATTTTAAAACGGATTCTTAACATTTTTTTAAATATGGCCGATTGTTTAAAAAAATGTCAATAACTTTTTGAAAAATTCATATTATAGTATTGTTCATTTAATATCTTCAAAGTACACCCTTTTATACGTAACTGAAAAAAAATTTATTTCGATAATTTAAATGGTTGCGGAGATATAAATTTTTGAAAACTTCGTCAAAAATTTGCAATTGTTTATAACTTTTGATATAATTATTATAATGATTTAATAATCCATACTTAAATACACTACCACATAGGGAACATATAGACAAAGTTTCATGAAAATCCGAATCCTACCTCTGAAAAGTTGATCGTCATAGTCTGGAATGTGCCATCTATAGAGTGGAAGAGCTATTACAGGAGTATAGTATGCCTCATTATTAAACCGATTTGATACCATACTAAAGCAAAAGCGGTTCCATC